TAGAACGAAGAAGATCGCGTGCCCGAACCCTACCGCCTGCCCGACGCCTTCATTAGCCATAGCGACCTGGGCCTTTCACTCTCGATACACACGGCCGCCTGCGGGCCCCTCGAAAGCATCCGCCGGAACTCCCTTAGATGGCCGAGTACTCGGTCTACCCCAGGGGAACCGGCCAATCCTTTTTTGGGGGGCACTTGGGAGAATTTTCAACATTGTGTTTTCTTGTACAGTGGAATGTGATACTGGCATCAAACTTAAACGCTTATGAGACAAGACTGATGAAATATAAGACGTTGTGTTTATGCCATGGCATCTGTTCCAGTTGTTGTTAGCAAAACGGAGTGTACCGTGATGACGTGAGATGTCGGGACAGGAAAGAGAGAAATGATCAATGGACAAAACATGAAATAGGCCCAACGCTTTATACTATCAAGTCGGGAGTATGAGGATACGAGTCGTGTATTCTCGAAGAAGAAAAAAAACGAGGTGATGAACAGCTCGTTTCAAGTTATTTCATTTCCACCAGCATGCAGCACAATATTCACAAGGGATACACAAGAAGAAGCAAAGGTGAGTCAAGACAACTGATATATCCATTCGTCATGAGGGATAAGTATATATTTACATATTTCCAAAAATAGGGGGGACAGCCGATCTAGCAGCTAATCTAGAAAAAATTGTTGAACAAGAAAGTTAGGGCGGACACGTTCATATCTGGAGAACAAAAAGTCATTCTCGAGAACCAACAAATGGACGTTCCAAACACCATGTTTTTATTTATTGCAATGTCGTGTAAACATTTGCAAGAAGAAAAAGAGACAACCGCTTAGTTGAAAGCGCGAGCATGGCGGCGAGCCTTGGAGGAGGCGGAGCCAGCGGTGGTCTGGAGCCACTGGATGAACTGGTTGATGGTGAAGGTCTTGGGGAGGGTAGAGCCGTTGTTGCCAGTTGAGGGGGTGGTGTTCTCAGCAGGCTTGGAGGGGGTAGGCTGAGCAGTCTCGACGGGAGATGGCGAGGGGGAAGGAGCGGAGCCGTTGGAAGGAGTGGTGGAAGGAGTGGTGGAAGGAGCGCTGCCGGAAGAGGCAGCGTTAAAGACCTGGGGACCAGGGATAGGGTACGAGGTGAAGGAGTTGTAGATGTCGAACTTGACACCAGGGTCAGTGGCCTTGTAAGCCTTGGTCATGTCGACACCAGCTGCAGGGAGGGAAACAGTTCCGTCGCCAGTAACGGTGATCTGACCGCATCCATTGTAGAACTGGGCCTTGCCGACAGCGGAAGCCTCGTGGAGAGCAATAATCTCGGGGCGGACCCAGTACTTGCCAGGCTTCAGGTTGGGAAGCTTGACCGAGACCAAACCCTTGTTGTCGTAGAACCTGTCAACACCGAACTTGCCGTCCTTGTAGCCATCCTCCCAGATCTTGGTCCAGACGGCGCCGACACCGTTGCTTTCGGCGGGAGCCATGTACACCATGACGGGACCACGGTGAGAGGGAGCAATGGGTTCGTCCTTGTCGCTGGGGTTAGGGCCCTTGTTGTGGTGCCACTGCATGCCAATGGTGGAGCCACCAGCAACCTCTACATAGTCAGAGGTGGCCTTACCACCATTGCAAATCATGGCAGTGGAGGTGACATCGAGGATGGGGTTGTTGCCGTTGGACGGCTCCTGAACAGCAAAGCCAGAACCCATGTCCTTGTTGTTAAGGACGAAGCTCTGGAAAGTAGCGTGCGAGGCAGCGAGGTTGGCAACAGCCAGGATGACAGCGGACTTGGCGAGCATGGTGATGGTTGGTGTGTGGATGTTGGTTGGTTTGAAAAGGTCGAGAAGATGTTCAAAAGATAGAATGTCAAAGAACGAAAGGCAGACGAACGAATCGAAAGATTGGATGCGAAAGAGTGTATGAAAGTGAGTGTCAGCTTCAAGCTTGATGCCCTTCAACTGGGAGATACCATGAGCACTTCTTATACTCGGGGTACCAACACGGCGCATTCACAAGCTTTGCGGGATAAGGGCTACTAGCTGACAGAGTAAACGCCATGAAACTACAGCACCCGGGTCTGTGGATAGGTGCCAAGCATCTGTCAATCTATCCCGCGTCGCACTAGAGCTACAAGCGGAAGCACAGTCTCGCTTAGTTGCCGCAGAACGTGGAAAAAAAGTATTGTTTGATCCCAGGCCCCATAATAATGTGTGATGGGTCATTTCGCTTTGAATCGTACGCCTGGGAGCCGCCTGCATGAAAAGCTGACTGTAGTATGGCGGGAAGCGTTGGATAGCGCATAAACCCACATCAACCGTTCAGTGCCAAGGCATCATGCCTCGGCGCTTGGCGAAACAATCGAACCGCCGAAAAAAAAACAGTTTCAGTTCATGCTACTCCGCACAGCTGACATATGTTCTTGGAACTGATATGTTTACCTAAGTATGTAAACTATCATCCTTGACAGGCAGACATTCAGGTTCTCCTTGTGCCAGCGGTTGTGCCCTTGAGTCAGGCAGGCGTTGTGCTTGCTTGTGCTGCTTGGTTCCACTCGCGGGTTTACGCGAAATAGCGCTCATTTTGAGACCCTACGCCTTTTCTTCTAGAATCCGCCCTGCGAATGTGCCTACTGCACAAAGTGGGGGGCGACTCATCCTGTGTCCACTCCCAGCGCTCTGACATGAAACGGCATTCAAGCGGGGCTGATTACAGGTTGGTGCCTGCCAAGACTATGGCGATGTTTCAAGCCACCCGAGGCCAGGCTCGTCAGCAAGTAGTCCAAATCCGGTCAGTCATGTCCGATTTGTGACGTTGTGGTTGTTTCGGGTTGACAAACTTTACAGCCACCGGCTATGTGGTTGTGAAAGGGAGCCGCATTTATGCTGCCTGTCGCCTGACCTGAAAAATGGAGCTCTCAACGCTTGACGACTGAGATAACGAGGCGCTTATGTCTTGTAGTATTCGATTGGTGTATATCGTTCTTGGGCTTTGCGGCCGTTGGTGGAAGGAACAGTAACGCATTGACGCCCAGGTCAGTAAAGTGTCCGCCAACGGCCACGCCGCCGCCGTAGTTGCTCGCCTTTCGCCGCCGAATATTCAACTTCCGTTCCAACTTGGGGTCCTTCAGCCTTTAAGTACTTGCGGGGTTGCTATAAACCTGCTCAATCCCTCTCACCGAATCTCTCTTGCCGCGACTGGGCGACTGAGCTGGACCAATGAGGTGATTTTGAGTGCGCTTGTACGAAACACACCTACATGCTGATATTCCACATTTTTGTATACATATACTGTTGTTTCCCCAAACAAGTCGTCACGAGCCTCTGTGGCATTTCTGCTGTCAGGAGACGCTGTTCGAGCACCTTGGTTGCACACCATGTGCTTGACTCAAACTAGAACAGAATACACGAGGACAATAAAAGTAATCGACATTGACAATTGGCTGCTCAATCTCGACGCTGCACCTTTTCGACTTGTCGCTGTTGCCTGTCCATCAAAGGTCCTTGCGCTTGCGCTCAATCCAGAAGTGCTGGTGATGTGCTGACTTTGACTCGGGGTAGCTGGAAACAACGCCGTTGTGGTGCTGCGACCTGAACTGCCATATATTAATTCTGTCGCACCAATGGCCAGACTTATCGTGGTCCCATCAACAGTAATGGTTCCACCAGGGGCTAGGGTTTCCCCTCCTATTACAAATACTGTGCCGCCACCGGACACTGCAGAATATGTTTCCGCATCGATCGTAAGCAGAGGCGGATTCGTGATTACAGGTGGGACTTGGGGTAAGATGGAGCTTGTCTGTCCATTGACTACCAGCGCTGTAGCTCCAGAGGCCAGTGAAATGGTTGTTCCAGATGTGACTATTGAACCACCAGCACTGAGCAGTATTGATCCAATCAGATACGCAGTCGCGGTCCCAGGCAACGGCCTGAACGTCACATCTCCTATTGTCAGGGGCGGCGCACTGACATGTGAAGGAGCTGCGTCAATCAGCGTCGATGTCACGTCGTTTATCACAACGAAAGAGGCAGATGATGCTAGTGACAACGTAGTACCAGAGACTGTTATCGCTGGACCTCCAGGAATAAGAGTCTTGTCAGCGACTACAAATACTGGCTCTGAAGGCTTCTGGAGGGCGCTGAATATCTGGTTACCAACGGTGATGGCGGGTGGTGACCAGGCTGCCCCAGTCTCCGCTTGCACGGTCGAGGACGCCCCATTGACAACCAACACACTTCCAGAAGGGTCCAAAGAAAGTGTAGTTCCAGAAAAAGTTACAGCTGCTCCCCCAGGAAGTAATGTCTGTTCAGATACAACAAATGTAGGGGCTATATCAGGCCTGACTTGAGTAGGTTGTGCTACTATTGTCGAGTCACCAACCACAAACTGAGGCACTCTGGTCGTGATTGGTAACGGCGCAGAGCTTATAGGCAAAATTTGGGTAGAGCCACCAATGACAACGAACGAAGCCGACGGTGCAAGACTAACGATTGTACCATCAACAGTTGCGACACCACCTGGGGTCAAAGTTTGACCTGGGGTAATGAAGAATTGGGTAGCCGCGTTTGGTGTTAGTGTAGATGGTCCAACTGTTAACACTGGTGGTGCAGGCGACGGAAAGATTTGAGGTAGTTGACTTGTCTTATCGCCCACAAAGATAGCGGTAGGCGAAGGTGCTAGAGAAACAGGTGTCCCACCGACGTTGATGGCAGAACCTCCTGGCTGTAGTGTTTGTGAACCGACTACAACTTTGGAGGAAGGGCCGATTATAATGGGATTTGTTCCAATCGAGCCCACAGTAACTGATGCGGGCCCGCGTACTTGTGCTGCGGAAGCTGGACTAGGAAGGTTATTGGCCATGAAATTATCATCCGTGGGTTTCGGACCAGTGCCCGGGATATCCCAGTCAGCGACTGTGAGTGGAACCACCCCTGAAGTTGTGTCATGGCCATTCACGAGAACAAGTGGCTCGTTGAATCCAATGACTGATGACTCCAAGTGACTGAAGAGAGGACCCTGATTCGGCCTATTTAGGTAGTACAGATTGACAACAATAAGAACAGTCACGGTAGCCTGGAGCTGTCCAGCGTGACATTCTGAATATGGTGTTTGGTCCAGGAAACCTTCCGGTAGAGGGCCATTGGCAGTATCCTTTTCCTCGAGGTTTTCGAGGCTGTAAGGATAGGCTTGCGCCAGCGGGAGCTGTACTGTTTTTGTTTCGTTGCCAGTCTCAACCTCATAGGCAGTAAAGTAGACGAAGGGCGTTGCAGATGTCTCGGACTGAGTGACGTTTGGTGCCAGTGTTACAACAGCCGTCGCCGATGTAAAGAGGTCTGGATTGTACAAGTCGTATAACGGAACATCTTCAAGAGGGATGACACCTCCTGGTGGAAACGGCGCATATCCTTCTGATCGGTAGACGACGGAGGTTGCAGCAGCACTGGGTCTTACTGTGTATTCCTCGCACATTGTCAAGGTAAAGTCAAAGGCGGAAATATATGACTCTGTGGAAGTACATGCAAAATCCGACGACAGTGCACTGGTTACGTCAAAGGTGGCGGTCGGAGGTACAAGTGTCAACGACTGAGAATTTGAAAAATTCAGGGCTGAAGTTTTCATTGTTCCAACTGGATAGCTATAAGTCGGCATGAACCAGTAGTCGAGGCTTGCACCGTATATATTGATTGTACATGCTGCACTTGAATTGCCAGTAGAGGGTCTTGGAGTGCCATTGTGAAATGTGGGGAGTAGCTGTGAAGTCGCAGCTAGTAGGTAGCCAGGAGACGATGGTGGGATATCTGAAGGGGCAGATAGAGTTTGTGAATGCAGAGTGACCGTGTCGGTCGGTCGCAAGATGTCATGATTTGTAGGTATTTCTGTAGCGGGGCCATTGGCGCTGTGTAGCCCAGTTTCCTCTGGAGTGATTAGAGAGGTGCTTATGGGCGGTGTTTGAGTAGGCAGCGATAGGGCAGGTATAGAGGTTGTGTTGAGATATGGGGCTTGATGGCTTCGTCAGCATGTAGCAATGTTGAGCCCCAAGGCGCAAAGATGTTGTTGTTACCGCGACGAGTGAATGCAGCTCCTGCAGTAAAGGAAGCCAAGTAGAACGTGACAAGCGAGAGATATGAAGTCATGTCGGTGACAAAGTGGTGGCCATGCAGGCGCTCTATGGACAGCGAACGTCGTGACGTTTAAGTCGTCCCGAAAAAACGGTAGACATACGAGGGTGCAGGAACAATCTGAGTGAGCGGGTGCAGGGCATTTTGGGCCTATCGGCTGGCGCGTTCAAGCGACGGTTCCGAGGAGAGACGTGCAGAAAGGGAGCTAGACAGAGCGAAGTCCGATATTGGCTTTTCAGTTCTTTTGCCGTCCAGATTCATAATGAGCCAGTTGGACAAGCCTAGCCGGGCGCAAGACGCAACCGGCGACCAATCAACAACAGTCGCTTGGTGGCATGGCATGGCATGGCGTGTCCGGCCGGCTTGACGTTTGAGTATGGCTGGCGTGCAGAATCAGGCGTCCAGCCATTTGGTGGATCAGCGTGAACGGTTGCTTGGATGTGTGGATACGAGTCAGCGGTGTGGCTCAACTTGCGGCTTGCACTATGGCACAGAGATGGTTTGATGGGTGTCGCAGGTGGCACAACGATGGATGGATTGGACTGGATTGATGGTGTTGGTGATGGGGATGGTCAGGGCCGTCGACTTGTCTTGAGGCGGTGGCGGGGATGAGGTGGCAGGGGTGGAGAGAGCAGGGCAGGTGCAGAGCTGAAAGTAGTACTTACACTCTAGACAGTCGCAGG